GAAAAAGGAAAAGAAAGCCAAGAATCCCAGAACGAAACCCAACCATCCGCCGACTTCCGAAATGGTAAACAACGCCATAAAGGGACTAAAAGAGAGAGGCGGTTCTTCGTTGCAAGCCATAAAAAAATACGTGGCCGCCAACTACAAAGTGGACGCCGAAAAAGTGGCTCCTTTCATTAAAAAGTACTTGAAGTCGGCCGTCGCTGCGGGAACTTTGGTTCAAACCAAGGGCAAAGGTGCGTCCGGTTCGTTCAAATTGGCGTCTTCGACTTCTAATTCGGCGAAAAGCGGAGCCGCGTCCTCATCCTCGGAAAAAAAGAAGTCCGTGACCAGAACGAAGAAAGCGTCTCCGAAAAAAACCACCGGAGAAAAATCTGGCGCCGCAGGTGGTGGTGGTGGCGCTTCTTCGAAGCCCGCCGTAAAAAAGGCGGTCGCCGCCTCTCCGAAGGGAAAAGGAAAAAGCGGGGCCGCCGCGTCGTCCGTGGAGAAGAAATCGGCAGCTAAAAAATCCGCCGAAAAGAAAACCGCCAAAGGCGCCGCCGGAACGGCGGTAGCGGCGTCGATTAAAACCAAATCGCCTTCGAAAGCCAAAAAATCAAACAAGGGACCGACGAAGAAACCGAAAGCGCCCAAACCCAAAACGGCAAAATCGCCTCCCGTAGCCGCTTCCGGCAAAGTTAAAAAGCCCGTCTCGCCCAAAAAGAAGAAATGAACCGCCGAGAGAACGTCGATGGGTGTTTAAAAAAAAAACGAAATTTTCGAAACGGTTCTTATCAGAACCACAAAAAAAATCGCTATCGAATTCGTAACTATCTTCAAAGGCAAACTCGAATCCCGGGCGTCTCGGGGGTAAATAGAAAACGATTTCTTTAAAAAATATATATAAGTATAAATTTATTAAAAAATCTCGAAAAGGACTTCTCTTTTTCTTCTTTTTTCTCTTTTCCATTTCGTTCTCCCTACGACAAACTTATTCTAACTTATCCGCCGGCGAATTTTAAACTGCATCTCGTTTAACAACGAAGCGTAGTCGATTCCGACGACGATCACGCAAACATTAAGAGAAATATCCCCGCGAACGTATTTATATGAGAAGAAAGTCCGTTGACAAGCTCCTCCCACCGAAAAGCGAACAGGGGGCGGAGCTTGTTGACCGACTCCGTCGCGATATAAATACGTTCGCCGGGGTTTTTTCTCATTTCGATCGCGAAGACCGCTTTTCTTTGTGAATAATAATGCCTTCGAAAACCGGTGGAAAAGCCGCCGCGAAAAAGCAGAAGAACGAAAGCCGTCACCAAATATACCAGAGGTCGAAATAAAAACTCGTCCGGTTTTACAAAGCAACGGGGAGTGGGGGGGGTTCTTTTCAGAACCACTAATAATTTTTTTTAAAGACGTCGTTAGTTGCGAAAAAAAAAAAATCCAACCGGGCCGTTCTCAAATAATTAATAAATGAAAAAGTTTTATTTTTTATTTTCAATTTTTAACGAAATCTTAAAGGAAAATGATTTGTGGTTCTTAAAAGAACCGGTTTGTTGTTAATAATAATAAAAGAGATTATTATTAATCTTAAGCTCTCTCTCCCCTGATACGCCTCGCCAATTGAATATCTTTCGGCATGATCGTTACTCGTTTGGCATGAATGGCGCACAAATTTGTATCTTCGAAAAGACCGACGAGATAAGCTTCGCTCGCTTCTTGCAACGCCATTACCGCGGAACTTTGGAAACGCAGATCCGTTTTAAAGTCTTGAGCGATTTCTCTGACCAGTCGTTGGAACGGTAATTTTCGGATCAATAGTTCGGTGCTCTTTTGATAACGTCTAATTTCTCTCAAAGCCACGGTGCCCGGTCTGTAGCGATGAGGTTTTTTAACTCCTCCGGTTGCCGGTGCACTTTTTCTCGCCGCTTTGGTCGCCAACTGCTTTCGGGGCGCTTTTCCTCCGGTCGATTTACGAGCGGTCTGCTTGGTTCTGGCCATGATAATAAAACACGTTCGCGGACGTACTAGAACACCAAATCACTAACACTCGTCGACAGATAATGGCCGCACGAACGTCCGTCCGTTTAATTTGTACCCGAGCGTTTTCTCTTCTCATTGGTCCAATCGACCTTTTTGGGCGTGGCGAATTCCGACTCGACAAAACCGAAGCGCCGGACCGTTTTCGGTCAGTTGATCGTGGCACTTCGGACGGTTTTGTTTGTTATATATCGATCAGAGAACTCGGCTCGTATTAAAAATGACCGGTAGAGGGAAAGGCGGCAAAGGTTTGGGAAAAGGTGGTGCAAAGCGACATCGCAAAGTGTTGAGGGATAACATTCAGGGAATAACCAAGCCGGCCATTAGAAGATTGGCCCGTCGCGGAGGCGTGAAACGAATTTCCGGATTGATTTACGAAGAAACTCGTGGCGTTTTAAAGGTGTTTTTGGAAAACGTCATCAGAGACGCGGTAACCTATACGGAGCACGCCAAAAGAAAAACGGTAACGGCAATGGACGTGGTGTACGCCCTAAAAAGACAAGGTAGAACTCTTTACGGATTTGGTGGCTAAATTTTTCGTCGATCTTGCGGAAACACAAAAAAAAAAAAAAAAGGTTCTTTTCAGAACCACAAAATACGTTCCAAAGATTATTCGTTATTTCGAGTATAATGCCCAACAAACCATTATCGAGTCGAGGTAAGTTTTGAATTTTTAATTTCTCCCCGTGTTAGTGTGATTATTAAATCTGTGAAATAAAGGAAACGAAATCTCAAATAGAAAAGTATTTGTGGTCCTTACAAGAACCGTCTTCCTTCCCGGCGAAAACTTTATTTAGCTTTGTTGTCGGTTTTCTTAGGCAACAGAACCACCTAGCGATCTTAACTTCGGATAATAATTTGTTCAATTCCTGGGATCGGCAATTGTAAATGTCGAGGTATTATACCGGTTTTCTTATAGTCCGAAAGAGAAAACGTAAAAAGAAGGAACGTTTCTTTTTTTTTTTTTTTTTAATAATCTGTTAAATAAACGAAACGAAATCTCAAATAGAAAAGTATTTGTGGTCCTTAGAAGGACCGTTTCTCCCATCGTCTTCCCTCGCCGCAATTTTTATTTTGCTTTGTTGTCGGTTTTCTTGGGCAAAAGAACCGCTTGAATGTTCGGCAAAACACCTCCCTGAGCGATCGTTACTCCCGATAATAATTTGTTCAATTCCTCGTCGTTTCGGATCGCCAGTTGTAAATGTCGCGGAATGATTCTGGTTTTCTTATTGTCCCTCGCCGCGTTACCGGCCAATTCCAAAACTTCGGCGGCCAAATATTCCATTACGGCCGCCAAATATACCGGAGCTCCGGCGCCGACCCTCTCCGCATAGTTTCCTTTCCGAAGTAATCGGTGAATTCTACCTACCGGAAACTGTAAACCGGCCCTGCTAGAACGAGACTTCGCTTTCCCTTTGACTTTGCCTCCTTTTCCGCGTCCCGACATCGTTATTACCGTTAATAGTACACGCACGAACGTTAACAGCACAATGACGCTCTCGCAGACCGTGGGCGCGCTATTTATAGGACATGGGCATGGACCAATGGGATTAGCGCTTCGGCGAACGATGCCCGGGGGCGGAGCTTGTCGGCCGACTCGGTTCTCAAATAAATAGCTGCGGCCCGGTGTGGGCCTTGTCAGTCCGTTACTTTGCGCGCGTCTAATCGATTGTAGAAAATGCCACCGAAAGTAAGCGGTAAAGCGGCGAAAAAAGCCGGCAAGGCTCA